GTTAATTCACTGAAAACAGTGTTTTAGCATTGGGTAAACAGTCTGTGTTTCAGTCTTTTATTATTACACAATAGTGAAAATCAATGGAATCCATTTACCCCAGGAGCATTAAAAACAGCTTACGGTGGCAAGTGTCCCATTAGAAATCTGTGGGAAGAAATCCTCACAAAGGAAGAGAAGGGAACTGTGTAATCTGAGACCAAAGCAAACGTGATTCTTTCCCATCTCATTGCATCCAGACTTTGGGAGTATTTTATGGGTATGACTGCGCTAGAAATCTTTATTTTATTTACTTGTTTATTGTAGAAATATGTACTTGGGAAGCATAGGGGATCTAGGAGTTTGGGTTAAACATTTCAAAATAGCATGAGATGCCTAGCTTGAAAACTTCTGAAAGGGTCTCAGAGCCCTTTGGGGCATCTAGAGAGCTACACCCACAATTCACACCTGTTGCCACTTCGTGGTGAGCCATGGAGTAGGAAAGCATCAAGCACATACGGGTCTGAAGGTCTCTGTGGTGTTGCTGAGCTAGGGGGTGGAGGTCCCCGACTCAGTCTCACAAGCTCCCTCTGATCCAGGACATCTGGTTCTCTGGGGTGGCTCAAAGATTTAGCAACTCAGGTTGCTCTAAGTGCCTCATTGGTCTGGTCTAGCCCTGGGAGGCACCTTTCTTTCTACCTTATAGGTAGCCTCTGGCATGCTCCAACCAGGTTTTATAACATATTCTAGACTTTAAATTAGCCTGCCCAAGGAAAAGCCAACAAGAGATGAGCTCAAACTAAGAACCGCCCAGTGCCAAACTCAAAACATGCCAGATCCTAAAGAGGCCTGTTTCTCATAATATGGGACCAATGTTTATACTTACTTTATTTCCAGTGACACAGGCTCACTGTATTCATATCCAAACAACTTCCTGGAAAAGCTACTGTCTTGCTGTTTCCAAGGAAACTGTACCAGGCAGTGTTTGATATATAAGAAACATAAGGCCAACCAGGGGCTTGCTAAAGGGAAAAATCATAGCATGAACTTCTCAAATGATGATGGCCTACATTTTCCAAAATTATAGTATAGAACTCAAGCTGATGCTGGCATTATCTGGACAATGGGAAGTCTTGGGGATAGCATTTTTGCTAATGTACAAGGTTACCAGCAGAAGAAATAGAAGTGATGGAAGGATGCAAACACAGTGTGAAGATGACAGGTAGCCATGGTAACAACACCAACAGCCCACATGAAGATCAAGAATGAAGATGCAGGAGGGAGGACTGGGATGTGTGTGTGGACTACACAAAGGAGCTGCTCAGGTACCTGGCCTGGCCCAGCTTCTTCCTGCTAAGAATGACCAGAGGGCTGTCTTCACGTGCTACACTTTCAGGAAGCTCCAAGCCCCATCCTAACCAATGGCTCTCCTGAGTGAATGGACAAACCCATTAGCATATAATATTAAAGAGTTTACAATAAGTCACTTACGCTGATGACAAAAATCAGAATCTAATTTTTAGACACAGTCATTTATAGACTAGGCTGGTCTCAATCTCATTAAATAACTGAAGATCCCAATTTGCCTGGCCTGAGGCCTCTCCTGCACTGGGATTGCATCGGTTTTCTGTAAATCTTCTGTTGGAATCATATTTGTACTTTTAAAAACACAAAATATAACCTATTAAGACAACTTGAAGACCAAGAAGTGTGTTTCTAGCCTGGCATGGTATTGTCCATCTGTAACCCCATCAGTAGAAAAACTGAGACTGGAGGATTACAAACCCCAGGTCAAATATAAACACATAAAAGTGTCTAGCAAGAAAATTATCTCTCCTTCGTAGTAGCTACCACACTGACCCTATTTATAAAAGAAAGCCAGAGGCCTCGTGGGAAGAGATCAAAAAGTGAGTAAGAGAATATATGAAATTAAATGTATATTTACTCATTATGAAATACTAATCAAATACAGTGGAGAAAATAAACAAAAGACATAAAAAGAGGAGGGAACTAGTTGGAAAGTATAAAAAATTTAATGAGTAATGAAGGACAAGAGAGCAATGAGGGAAAATTTGATCAAAATACCTTGGATCAAGATATGTATGATATTGTCAACAAAATCTGCAATATATTTGTGTATGGGATTGTACAAAAAATACATGGGCTCAAATACTCTATCAAAGGTGATATATAAAATTCTCCATACCAAACATAACTTTTCTTTTATTGCTTACAGTGTATATGCCAACATTTTATTGAACAAGCTTTATTGAACACTGTTGTTGAATAATCCTTTTGTACACTGTGAAGATTTGTCACTCTGATTGGTTTAATAAAAAGCTGAATGGCCAATAGCTAGATAGGATTTCTGGACAGAGAGGATGCTGGGAAGAAGAAGGGGATACTTCAGGAACCTCTGAACAAGCAGGATTGGCACTACAGAGATGAGGTAATAAAGCCCTAGGCAGAAAGTAAATTAATAGAAATGGGTTAAATTTAAGAGCTAGTTAGAAACAAGCCTAAGCTGTCTGCAGAGCTTTCATAATAAGTCTCCTTGTCATTATTGGGGAACAGAAGGTCCTGGAGAAAAAGCGCTACTACTGAACACATTTTCTCGTGATAACACATTCCAAAAAAAGTAGATATAATAAAATGAGATGGTTAAAAAAACATTTAATAATCTCATAGCATGGCTGAAGATTAGCAGATTCTGGGAGACTGAAGCATGAAGGGATTTCTTAAGTTGTATCCTAAGCTTCCAGAAGAGCTTCTGTATATATATCTTATATTTCAGAGGTCAGAAGTGTGGGAATTCCCAAAACCGAGGCACTAAAATGAGGACCCAGGGAAGAAAATAAAGAAACAACCCCTCTGGTGCTATTTTTTTTAAGCAAAGGAGAAAGAAACACTCCCAGCTCCTTGTTGGAAATTGTGATTTTTCTGAACTCGAATGCAAACATAAATTTCCTTAGATGTTGAATTTTTTCAACAAATAAACTAAGAAAGATATTGACTGAGTGCAGACTTCCTGTCCTTAAATCCTCATAACTTTCTGCTGCAAAAGCCCCCCTCTAATCATTGGTGCCCTAGATACTGTATCTTGAAAACCAGGGAAATGGAAATACGACTACTTCTTCTTGCTGTGTTTCCAGGAATGCCAAGACTCAATAAAGTTTCCCCACTGGAACCAGGGTGTTAAATGTGAAATTCAACACTTTCTGTAATTAGGTGAAGTACACAGTTACAGGAACAGGAAAGTTTTTCAAAAGAAAATAATCGGGAACTATTCTTCAAAAAAACGTAAGCATACAATTATAATCCTTAGCATTTCTTTGCAAGGAAATTGTCCATTGCAAAGTCATGGAACTGAATAGATAAAGGTTTAGAAAGACCAGAGAGACAGATAGGACTACCAATTCCATACACATTGTAGTTTTGTTGACAGTTTCCTACACATATCCAACGGACTCTGATCAGATTCTCCCCCACTTTCACAACTCTCTTTGTCCTCTGCCCCTACCTTCAGTAGTAGATTGGCTGATGATAATCAGGAAATAGTGAGGCTGTGAGGTAGCTGGGCAGGAGAACAGACCATCAACTCTCCATTGCTCTCCTGGTAATTATAGCCAGTGACAGGCGAGCAATAGAGCTGAGGACATTGGGGCCAGAGCTGCCAACTCTAAGAAGATGGAAACCTACTTGCTCATTTGTTTACAGCTATTTTCATTTTGTTTTTTGTTTTCTTGTTTTGTTTTCTGTTCTTCTTTTTATTTTCCAT